TGGTTAGCGCACTTGCCTTTCACCTCTAAGGCCGCGGGTTCGAATCTCAGTGAGGACTTCTCATTGTGACTGGAACCCAGTCCTAATGTGAAAAGAGTAAAGTCAACGCTCTGCCGAAAGTCGTGGGTTTTCTCCGGGTACTCCGTGTTTCCTCCCACAGGGAAAGTTGACAGGGTGGGTTAGGCACATAGGTCTGGAGGCAGATCATTAATGAGGTATGGACTAATAGCGGCTGCTCAAGCGCCATTTGTAAGCTCAAAGTCTACCTCGGTCTGCTTCAAGTCAGTCCGGTTCTATCTATCTATTCATAATGTAACCAGTCACTGAAAAGCTCTGATAGGGAGTGTGCTGTGAAATATCTGTAATCTGTAATCTGTAATAATATATATATATATATATATATATATATATATATATATATATATATATATATATATATATATATATATATATATATATATATATATATATATATATATATATAATTATGCAGTCACTCCTAAATGTTTTTTTTTTAATTTTTTCTGCTGGAAACTGCAGTCCTGTATCTTATTGGCGGCTATCTTTGTTATTGTTTCATATTTTAAGCCAATCGTCAGAAAGCCTAAATCGTCAATGAAATTTGCACTGTATTTCATTTTTTGGCACTGTATTTCGAAAAATTGCACTGCTCTTAGCCAATCAGAATTGAGAATTTTTTTATTAGGAATAGTGAAATAACTTGTGTCTCTTGTATCCTCAGTAATGTTGACATGACAGCATGTTAACTCCGTTTCCTACTTTCCTGAACGTAGGAAATTGGACTACATGTATTCCATCGTAACGACGTTCTGGGTCTTGAATTAAACAGACTGAAGAGATTACCAGGACCGGAACTCCGGCGGGTGTCAAGATGTTCACCGCCTGTTATTTTATTCGATATATCAATTTTTCTCTCTTTCCACCACTCTATAAACTTTCAAACAAAGTTATTTCTCCTCAACTTTGTCTACTTTATAGC